CAGTTATTATATAAGCACCTTTGTATCATGCACCAGAACTGGCTTGGAGGTATCTTGGCATTTTCAAGTTATACATAAAATATAATAATTAACCAAGCATCAGGAACTTTATAGTAAGGCATACCAGTTTTGGACAATGCTGTACTCAAAGTAGTCAACATTAGGCAGTACACATTTTCTCTGACTTTTTTTTACATTAAAATTTAAACTTGTTGATAGAAACACATACATCAAAATCCATGTACTGTTTCATAACCAAATCTAATTATTATTATGATATTAACCGAAAGAATTAAAATAATACAGTATAAATATCTCGGTTAAATAAAGAAAAATGTGAGCTTACAATTATACATGCATGTAAATCATAATTATTAGTATGATTACTAATGCTATATTTACCTTGCCTGATTCTTTTATACAGTAACTAAAAAAAAGAAAACAGTATAAGTTAATGTGTTCTTCATAACAGTTGACACTTTTGTTGTACAAATTTTGTTAATATCTTGGAGGGGCACAGACTATTAGCATATAAATAAACCAGGGAAGGCAGTACAGGACAGGAGGATCAGAGAGTACAGTACCAGACTCCAACAAACACATACCTGCGTAATACCCGTATTGGTTGCAGAAACCTTCACAATGTTGAGGAACCTTTCATTGTATATCAGTTAACAGAACTAGAGGCAAGGTTACACTTATTGCAAACCTTATAATACTGTACACCATTTTGATGCAAATAATGCAACCTTGCCAAAAGCATCAGCAACAAATAGCAACTAGAATAAATACTCCATTAAATAATGTGGTACTGAGCTTAGTAATATGCAAATACATACCACGAGGGGAAAGCTTCTTCCAGTAGGTATAATAAGCCAGGTCACTGAGCAAAAATATACTTCGTGGATACCTGGTTCAGCAATAACCTTCAGAAAATTTTAAACTTGATTGTCTAACTACCAGACATTTCTTCTTAACAAATATAATGGTATATAATATGCCTTGATACAAATACTATTTAAAAAGGGGATGCCACAGCTACTCCTCTAGCATACATAAAATAATTCTACGAAGCTGTGACACCCTAGGATTCATAATCTGACTAGGATTAGCAGGTTGAGAAGTGGTCACAGACCATCAGACTGTGACCATCAGGTCATGATTGGCAGGCACCATGTAGTCAATGGTATATCGATGCATCTTTAGGTCAACAACCATTAAAGATTTCTAATGAAGCAGTACCTGAGATCTTCAACTCTATACTACTTGGCTTCGAGCACCTACAATACAATAACATAAGCAAGTGTTTAATGGTTAAGCTATACTGGCATGGAAATATTTCACTGTATCTGTTCTTCATAAAAGTTTCTACTTAATTAGTAAAATACTATTTTTTATGGAATGACGGAATTTGTGCAATGAATGCTGATTACTATAATACAAAAACCTGCATGGAGACAATGGAACAAAGTTCACCCTGTGTAATTCATCCTGCGACAAGAGCGCTCTTCAGCAAATGAACAAAGCCTTGCTGAGGAAAACACATTATAGAAAAAGATGCTTTTGGGACAACATTTTACTCTGTGGAGCTTTACCAAATTTGAGGAAAATATTGTCCCAATAAAAGTCTGTTTTACAATGTGTCTTTTCTTATATATCAGTGGTACAATCTACCAACAAGTGTGTTAACATGACATATGTAGTTTATGGCATTTTCCGAGATATTTTGTTCACTAGGGATAAAACATAAGTGAATGAAACATCTCAATAAATAACATAAAGCACATAGTGAGTTATTAATATAATAGTCTTTTCTTCAATACTGTTGGCATTAATACACCATTTGGATCCAAGGGAGTCTCAGTTAGCCATGTCTTAACAGAAATATTATTTCTTCTTGTAGAGCCTTCTGTTTAACTGGACTCATTCTGTCATATGTTTGCATGATAGGTGTGGCACTCGGAACATTAATGTCATGTTCACCTAGAGTGGAACACTTGATGTTCAGGTGCCATGACTATCAAACACCCTACAGAACGAGCCCACAGCTCTAATTCCACTCGGCATTTCTCTCAGTTGGAGGCAATAATGCACAGCTAACATTACACCCAGTGTTTCCCTCAGTTTGAGGCAGTTATACACAGCAAACATTCCACCCAGTAAATAACTAACTAAAGTGTAATGAAAACTTGTCATTGCTCAATAATAACCTACATGGAGACAGAAACTCAGGAGATTAACCCGTAAACGGTCCAGGCAGATCTACGTTCACATGTGTAGTGCTCCAAAAGTAGATCTACATTTTTTTTTTTACATATTTTCAAATACAACCAAAAAAAAAAAAAAGTAGATCAAAGTTTTTTTTACACATTTTCAAATGTAAAAAAAAAAAAAAAAAAAGATATCTACTTTTTTTTTTACATACTTTCAAATGTTGAAAAAACGTATATATACGTTTGGACCATTTATGAGTTAACTGATTTGTATATTTTGACCCCCCCTTCTGTTGAAGAGGATCCCAGAAGGGGGTCGAAATACATAGATCAATTAATCTCCTCAGTTTCTGTCTCTGTGTGGGTTATTATTGAGTATTCCACTCAGTGTTTCCCCTCAGTCAAAGAAGTTAATATATAACTCCCATTCCACCTAGTGATTCCTTATGTCTCCATGTGGGATTTTGTGTTTACTGAATGAAAATGGTTTTATTTGTACTTGTACCCTGAGTATGATGAGAGATCAAACACTGCCCATGCTTGGCAAACTAATCCCTGAGCTGCTATGAAAGGATGAGCACCTATTGCTACTTCATGGCTTCTCACCTGAAAAATGTATTACATGAATCCTTAGTACGTGGTCATCTGATAAGTCCCGCCTTGCACTGCCCTATTATGATATGACCTTTTATATAATAAACAGGTGAAGTATGATACTGTCCCATTTGCTTAAATAACAGCCAAAGGGGTGCCAAGTTTTTACCTTCGTTATATTTACACAGTACCTAGTGTGAAAAAATGCCACAATAAAATAATAAACTAAATATTCGAGTGATTTTTGTGCATTCACACGTACATCTTTGAAGAAAAATGTGTAAACACGCACAAGTGATCGTGTGTTGTCATTGCTAATGCAGTAACCACTCTTATAAAACTCCTCCATTTGGTGCAAGCTTTTGCAAATGTGAATGGTATGGTGAATCCAAGTTTGAATAACGTATGGAATGGACTTCGTAGTACATGCTATTCAATTTTGGACACAATTTTTCAATCACATTTGAAAAAAAAATGCTACAGTATATTGAGGAGCTTCATAAAAGAGCTCACTGTACTGCACTCAGGCATTTTTCAATATCTGTAATAGTGCATTACAGTGATATCTTACCACAGGACCCAAGAGACTGTATTACAAAAACAGACAAAATAAAGAATAAAAACTGTCACCCCTTGCTTACATGGCCATAATATTGATAATACACAACACTGACTCTCATTAACACTCTGAACCACACAACAATTAACCAATAATCGTTCTGATAAATAATACATTGCAAGAAATGCACTGCCAATAGGAACTGTTGCATAAAGTTACAGATTGTTGTGCAGAAAAGTTAATCATGCTAAATGATGTTGAGTTAGGGGATTCATCATGCCCAGCTTCACACACACACACAGCTCTGCATCGAAATAACTTTAAATGTTAATACAAAGATTTAGAGTACAGAATATGCATTTCTTTTAATTTGGCAGTACATCACTAATGAACACACAGACTGATGCAGTGAGTCATTGCCACAGTCACTTCCACCTTACAATAATAATGACTGTCCATTCTTAGTCACTGTGAATTCAACAAGATACACATAATGAAACACAGTTTGTATTACATCACAGACAGGCAGCAGGTACCTTGAATCCAAGGTTATTATTGGATACACTCATCCTTCACAGTGTGTGTGCACATCTTATACTTACAAGCAGTACCAAACAACAGCCTATGTACCACCCATAAAAAACAATCTAGCTTAACGGATACAATTTATTGAAAGCTTTGTAATTCAACTTATTTGGAATCTCTCCCCATCTGAATCCTTGCAATGCTCAGAATGCTAATTTAACTACTGTACATAAAAATCTGGATACACAATATTCTACCCCTGAGCATAACAGGGGTTCAGGCACATTATGAGATGGAACATCACATCCCATATTTTCAGTTACTATAATACTGGAACCATTGTTAAATATGAATTTTTTGAGCTTCTGAATACTTAGTCCCATATCAAAACCTAGCCATCTTGGTTTTGGGTTGTAGGAGCATTGGCTTCCTGGGGAATTGGGAAGAACTCATCTTTACAAGGTCCTGGGCCTACAGCAGCCATGCCTTCTGAAGTGGGAAAAATGGCTGGAGAATCTCTGGCTGCATCAGGAGGGCCACCATCTCCTGCCTCATTGCGATGAGTAGAAAACACGTGAATCTTTACACTGTGACGATGCTGGAATTTTTTCTTGCAGATTGGACATGAAAACTGAGGCTCCACTCCACATTCATATTTCTTGTGTCGTTTTAAGTTACCTGTTGAGGCATATGTGCGACCACACTTCTCACACGCAAACTGTTTAGGACTTTCTGAGAATGGGTAGCCCAATATGGATTTAGGGCTGGCTTTCTCTCGGCCTTTGAGGAGTAGAGGGAGGCCTATAGGGGGGGGACGGACCAGGATATCCGTGGACACCCGGGGGGGCAACAGGCCAGGAAAACCAGCTCTCACAAGGTTATAAGCACGCAAGTAATCTGCAAGAAAACACAGGGGTTAGCAGGTAGACAAGGTGTGTGCCAAGGTTAGCTCTATAGTACTTCAGCAGAAGCAGTTTAGGACTCTTCACTTTTCTTCTCCAAGTGTAATATGTTACAGTGGGAGAAGAGAGAGTGAATGGCCCGGCCATGCAGAGAGAGCCGATCAGGAGAGAGCCAAAAATGGGGAGGGGGGGCCGGGGGAGGCTGTAGAGGGAGGGATAATAAAGCCATGCAGTACTAGCATACAAAATATACAAGACAGTATCATTTCACAACCTTAAACAAATTAATCACAACTAACGAAATTAAAACTAAAATGAACAATACAGTGGAAAAACAAAACAATATAAAGAAGCAATAAACAATATGACGAGGGTCTGGGACCTTCTGAGAATCAATCCACTAGAAAAATGAGATCATTGGTTACAAAGTAAAGCAAAAACACAACACATTATTTAAATATTCTGTCTGATACACATTTATTTTTCAAGTCACAGTGCTATGAGGTCTTGAAAATAATTTAGTGTACTGCATATTTGTGATGAGATAACATATGTTGCTTCAAGTTGAACTTGTGTGTACACTTCTTGTTGCACACAGGACACATGAACTTCGGTTCAACACCACACTCAAACTTCTGATGGCGGTAAAGAGACCGTCTAACACCATAGCCCTTTCCGCAACGATCACAAGTGTGCACCAAACCTCCATTAGTGCTATTAGCTGATTGCATCAATGACACGCTAACAGTTCCCCCATCACTGTTGTCACTTGTAAGGCTGTTATTGTTGTGCTGGTTGTCAGTGCTGTTCCTGGTGCTGTTGCTATAGATGTTACTATGGAATGAGCTGTTTAGGCTTAGGATGGGCTTTGTATCGATGTGCCGAAAAGGACTATGAGAGGCTAGGTTAAATGGTAGAATGCTGTGATGTTCAGGTTTCGGTGTGTCGGCTAATGCTCGATGGGTCAGAGCTCGTGTCAGCAACTCCAGGCGGCTTACTGGTTGAGAGTGACCCAGTCCCATTCCTCTCAACCCAGACAGGTATATAAGGTCAGGTGGAGGATTGGGATTTGGAGAAGGAGGTGATACTAAATAATGGGCAGGGGATGAGGACAAGGATGATGGGGATGGGGAAGGAGGAACTAAGTGGGACATAGGATCATAGGAGCGTCCAGGGGATGCAGCACAGGAGGATACTTGGGGAGTATGATGGCCTGAAACACATGAGACAATGTGTCAGCAATGGCCTTACCACAACAAAAAATACCATCACCCACTGTTCCCTATTTTCAAAGATGCATTTCTCAACTACTGGAGAAGCACCAAGAAGGAAAGTCAGTTCCAAACATGACTACCAAAGAAGGTATTACACTGCAGTACCCGAGATCATGACATGCTTTTATTATAAAAAGAAATGTAAATAAATACTACTATATCTAAGAGACGAAATGACATGCTAATAAAAAGATTTCTTAAGAGAATGGAAATTTTGTAACATGCTTCTTATGCACTGTAAGTTAATGATCAGATACCTTATATGCATATTAATTTAACTGCTACTATTGCATACTTTATAGAAGTAAATGATATACAGGATATAAAAGTAAATACCCGATAACTACAGTACTTGAAACACATCTGCTGTACCAACAAATAAAAGTCATGCTAATGAATTATACAAAAGAGTAACATGCTAAAAAAAGCAGGAACATCTTACTTAGAGATGAAAAAGATATATTCTTAAGTTAATGCTTCACTAATAACCTGCAAAAGTAGAGTGAACTTGAAACAATATTTCAGCTTGCTTTAGACCATCATCAAGTTCATCCTTGATAATTGTAGAGGAATGACTGAAATATCTTAAAATTTCCTCTCCAAATTGTTGGATACTAGAGAGCCATTGTAGCCACATTGTTGTGACTTATTTCAAAGCCAACTGTTTTAAGCTATATATAACAAAAAAAAAACTACTGAGATATGAAGATCAAACTACGGTATTAGAAAGCAAATTTTGCCTGAACAAATGTACAAAAGCTGTTGAAAATATGGTGGGTAAATGAAAATATCACAAAAAAAAAGCAGGCCAGGATTATTTGGAGTGGGTAAGGTACAGAACAGGACAGGGTGTTGACCCTCTCTTCTCTTCACAGGAAAGAAAATTGAAAGCTATTTTTTCTTTACATTCCAGTTCATTATTGTACAGTATATTTTCATTAGTCTTGTCTGCGGTTTATTGCATGTGGAGTTTTTTATGTATTTAGTGCAAGTAGAGTTTTTTGATGTATTTAACTCTTTTTATAACCTCATATTTCAATCGATGGGGTATAAAAAATTCTAACAGTAAACTCAATACAATAGTTGTATACCAACAATCAATTTTATACCTAAAAGGAAGTCAGTAGTGTGATTACCAATGAATATTTTCTAGTACCTGCTTGCATTTGTGACACTTTTTTTATACTTTATCTGAGCCTTACACGAATGAAAGCATAAACACTATTAAGTTTTGTTGGTAAGCAGTAAATTAATTCAATGATAAAAGTTACATATGTGCTGTGGGGGCTCTGAAGATACACTTGGAAGACAACCAACATACAATCACACAACACTCACCTCTAAACACCCCAGGAAAGAATTACCTTGCCCTTTTCCATTTAGTTCTTAAATTTTAAAATTTGCCACTGAAGCGGCTAGCTTACTGTGCACCTATATCCATCCTGTGGACAGTAGTGCAAGAGCATGCGAATACACAAGTTCTCCTTTTGATTCCGTTTCCTTGTCATTTTCCTTTCTACTGCCAGAGCCATCTAGTTACAGACGGCCAGATGAAATTACCAGCGCAGCTGCTAAACCTTCCCACTTGCTCCTTACAACTGATATCTTGCTCTGTGGAATCCTGGAAAGTCCAGGGGTGTCTTAGATCATCTTGCTCATCAGGGATATTTGTCGATGATAGCCTAGCAATAGTTTTACTTGGTTCACCAGCTCAATGTGACCACTGATCAACCTGTTACTCATGATCCTCTGCAGGCAAGAATAATAAGTTGGAAGAGTCATATGAGTGCCTTGTGTTGGAAGAATCCTTTGTGACTGAGCATGAGTTCTCCAGGGACAGCCTTTATGTCATACATATGAAATGACCTCCTATTGGAGTTTTAGCTCTTGCCAAGATGGAACAGGCTCTGTCTACTTCAGTCAATAAGTGGTTCCAAGTCCATTCAACATTCAGTAGTCAAGGGGAAGTTGAAGTGATGCCTACCAATGGTGCCGTATCAGCCAGATTGTGTTGACTACATATGTCTGTAGGCTGCTGGCAGTAACATGCTGGTTGGCAAGGCATTCAACAAGTCTGGCCTTAGTACAATCTTCTAGAGCAGAGCTCTCAAAGCCAGTCACAGGTATGTAATAGAGGATCTAACAGGTCCTGTAGATCTGTCAAGCTCCTGGCTCCCTCCAGGCCTCTCGTTAACTATGGATTAAGTAGCTGACAGCTCAAGAGCTGAAGAAGTGGCTAGTAACTTTGGTAGACTGGGTTCCACTTAAGGTTAATCTGGAAGGATGCAGTTGACCAGTAAGTTGACTTTCATCAGGTACTATACACTCCTGACTCCTTTAGTTGCTTGGATCTTCCTAGGAGATTAACAAGGCTCCTTGAGGTAAAAATAATATAAACACACTAAGTGCTAAACCTGACCTGAGGTAAGTCTGCCTGTTGCTGGTCCTGGCTATGATTACCAAAATTTGGTGGGCCACTCATTATGGCTATTTTTTTTTTTTTTTTTTGGAGGGGGGGAGACTTCATGAGGGTTCCTCTGATCACAAGTGATCAATCCAGTGGCACACATTGGGCTCCAGTGAGGTTCATGCTTACCCTTAGGGTTCCAGCAAGAGAGAACTACAAACTAAGATTTGGACCTTGGATGCATTATCCTAGAGTTTACAAACGTCCATGTCAGATCAATATCTAGATCCACTCACCGATAGTTCTTCACTTAATGCTTGGGGGATAGGCAAGGAAGAGTTGTGCTGAGAATTATGTATGTTGCTTGATTCCATGAATGGAGATATATGTACTATTCAGGATTTTTCTTGCTAGCAGTGGCTAGCTTCAGATGTATCCTACTTCTGGATGTGGGGGTTTCCTCAGGGTATGCAATGAAAGATGCTCTGGAATCACATCCAGTGTGACACCTACCAACAGCTTGATTTGAAAGTGTACAGTCTCTGGCTTGAGTCTGCTCTCTGAGATGTGACTCCTGAATTCCTGCCTCCACCTTCATTTAGGGTTTCACTGGGTTCATAGTGAGTCATCCGAGTTCCAACACTCACTAAGGTCATAGTGGGTCATCAGAGTCCCAACACAAAGCACATAAGTGGTTTTCAAGAATGAAAAGTTCATTTGTGCAAGGGAGTGATGGTCTAGGAAGGTACTCATATCCCCATGTCAGTTATTCTGCATAGGCCAGTCTATGAAAGTAGAAAAACTCTCGAAAGTAGTCACAAATATATCATAAGTAATGTGTGGTTCAAGCAGCAGGCTGTCAATAAATGGTTCTGGTTATACAAAATAGGAAATGCCAAGAGATATGGAAATGAGATAATGAAAAATGGCAGACAACTCTCAGTGGGGTTTTTGAAGAGGTTAATGGTGGTATTATAATGTGCTAGTTGTTTTCTTATGTGGTTATCAGTACCTAACACAAGTGTTCTTCATTTTTAAAATTATGCAACTGCTGTACACAAAACATGGTAGTCTTGATAAAAATATTTTTAATTTTTTCAAGAGTATTTACTAGTTAGTGTATATACAAGAACAAGCAGTCTCAAATGAGTTTATGATAATCCACTTTAATAAATATCCATTTTTTCCAAGAATACGTATTATCAGTGATATTAGTCAAGAACAGTGGCAGACCTACATTTCTGGGGCCCCCTGAAACTTGAACTGTTATGGGGGCCCCTTTGCAACCCCTTCTCATACAGAAGACCCAAGAATTTTAAGCAATGTGGAGTAAAGTGACTTCTGGGGCCCCTCTGGATGAGGGGTCCTGAAGCATAAGCTTCATAAGTTTCATAGTAGATTTGCCCCTGGTCAAGAGTCACCAGTGTAGTATATATTGCCTGAAATACACACCATGCTAGTGGCTTTCTTTAGTGCCTAACAATATTTTATTACATGCAAACCACATTTTGTATACTGTTAAGTAAAAGGACATAAGTGCAACTAATGTGACATTTTATTGTGGCAACGTTTTGCTCTCCAGGAGCTTTATCAAGCTGTTATGCCTTGATAAACCTCCTGGAGAGTGAAATGTTGCTACAATAAAATGTTACATTAGGTGCACTTGTGTCCTTTTACCTAACATATTGTCAGTAATTCTACCAACATTAATACATTTTGTATACCACACAAAGAAATATGGTTTTTGTTTGTTTGTTTTGTACTGCTAATAATATTTTAATATCTGTTCAATGTTAACCAGTCATCTTCGTAAATATGTATAAATCTGCCAATGGAAATTATACACAAACCTCACTAAAAAATATCAAGCTTAGAAAGTTTTAGGGCCTACTGTGTACTAATTTGTGTATTAGGTCAAATAGCTACAAGTACTGTTCTATACTGCATGCTACCTTATAAGTGTAACCTGTGTGACTCGTAAATAGCCCAAGTTGGATTGAAACTCTGTCGTAAGTTCCTCTCTCCTACATGCGGGTTAGGAGTGTATAAAAACTGAGAAACCACTTGTAGGCAAAATTATTAGTACCACATTAAGTCTGTCCCTCTTTGTATGCTGAAGTATTGTTTGTGGCTTTTAACAGCATGCTTACTGAGCTCATTCAGGATACAATCACTTAATCTCAATATATATTAATTTTCAGCGCTGACTGCATAGTGGGTGTACAGCCTCTCCTCACTTTTCCACGTACTCATTTACCAACAACTCGGACTTACAATGGGCTCTCTGACCAGTATGCATACTAAATAATGTACATTAAACAGTTATTTAACACAGATTTATTTGGAACGTTTTGGTTATAGCACTATTGTAGAATTGCGGCACAATTTTATACAACACTTTGTAAAATTAACTTAACACAGTTCAGTTTGTGGGAGGGGAAAAAATTTGGAGTGTCACCTGCGGGATACTTCTGGCTGTGGGTTAGACCACTGAGTCAACGAGAGAGACCTACCACCATCCCCCCCCCTCCG